TAAATTATTAAATACTAACCAAAATAAAATATACATAGACTAAGTTACATGTATATTTTGTGTTCATTTATCCTTTTATTATCATAGTAACATGAAAAACAGGGTAACATTTTCATTGATAATATAACAATTACTGTATATAAGTCTCTATAATAACCTATATTTCAAAACATTTACTTTTATTATTTAGCTCTTGCATCTTACATTTGTATTTGTAATTTTTCTCATCTCCAGGAATATCTTTAAAAATTCGAAAACATTTTAGAGGCAGTATCTTTTAATGAATCCAACAATAGGCTTTTGCATATATCTACCAGTAGGTGGAGCAGAAAACATAATTTATTACCCAAGAACAAGGGCAAGAGAATCAAAGTCAGTTTCTTTGGAATAAAACAAATCAGCAAATGAGATTTTCTTCAAAGGAAATATGTCCTATACATGTTAGATTTAGTTTGACTGGTTACTGAATCAAAATAAATAACTTTATTAATCAATCTTTGCAGAAAGATAAATTTACAAATGGAAGCAATATTTGCATTTTACTTTATTCAAATAAACTAAAATTAGCTTTCCTTTCATAAAACTTTTACAGGGACAAGGATTTTTTTGATGTACTCATTTAATAAGGGTGCTAAACCCAATCCTGTTTTACAGGTGATGGGGTGCATAACAAATAGTATTTTCTGGGAAATATAATTGACTAATCCTATTATGTCTGTAGCAACAAATTAACCTTATTACTACTAGTAAATGGTGATTGATTATTTATGCAAATAAGCTACCATGTTCAGCTTTCTGATTGAAATAAACATATACAAAAGGTGCTTTAATATGACTTGAACTTTTTAATTAATAAAACCCTGAGGGGTCTATTAATTCACTCATTGCAATATTAGTTATTTACTTGTGTAATTCCTATTAGCGTTAACATATTTGCTTGAATAAAGATGAGATAATTAATACCATTAAAATTAGTAATAGCTTTTGAAACTATTTTAAGATATACATTGGATTTATACTAAAACAACTTAAAACTGACTTTAAAAATTTGCTATAAGTATATGAGTACATCAGTAAAATCATCCTAGAATTATTAATGCACTAAAAAACACATGATTTCATTTGTTATCTATATGTGAATTCACAAAATTTTGGTTTACAAAATTCTCCATCTTTTTTGAAGCATTATTTGTCTGAAGTAATGTTTTATTTCTACTCATCTAAGGTAACTACCTTAAAATTATGATTCTAGAAACTGTATTAATATCATTCCTAAATTATTAAAATCACCAATAAAAATAGTGTTTCTCTTTTTGCTAACAATGCTGCTAGATTTATTAATTTTAAACAGGTCAATAAAACTTTTCCTATCCTGACATACTTCTTATTAAAATTATTCACACTTGAATATTTATTTGGTAAATTTTCAAATTATCTGCATGAGTTGAAAATTAAAACTGATACAAATCTTTTAAAATAAATACTATTTATTCTTATTTGACTTTTATTTTGTAGTTAAATGCCTACAAATATAACTTACAATCAAAATTCTTAAAACAAGGGAAGGGAGGTTAGGTTATTTTAATTAAAATAAAATAGTACTTTACATCAGCAAAATTATAAGTATAAATAGTTGTTAATTTCAGTGAGCCTGCCTATATAAGCTGTAACGAAAAATTGGCAATTTTCTTCTAAAAAAAAATTATTTGATATTAGACTGAAGTTGGGTTGAGCACACCTTGTGGTTAAGGATCATATAGTATATATCTAAATATACTAAAGTCCTAATACAGTAATGAGTACTCAAAAACATTATTGGGAGTAATTAGCTGATGAATTTAAGTTAAGTTTAAATCTCAGTGTTGCATACTTTTGTTTAGATAGAAACAGTTTACAATTATGACTTGAAATATCAGTGTTAAAATTCGAATGTTTATACTATGATGAAAAATACTGATTTAAAGCTAAGGAAAGCAAATCTGGTGGGATATAAGGAACAAAACACATGACCTTTCCAGTACCATCCTGTCAATTCAACTAATGCCTTCAATAAAATGAACAGATGAGACCAAGATTACACTGCTATTCTATTTTATCACCACACACATGAAAAGTTTGCCTCAGGAACAAACATGTCTCAGTAGGTTCAAAGGGTTGTCTTTTCATCTCCAGTTACCTATGATCAAATATTAAGATCACCATGACAAAGTATACCAACTTGCCAGATCCAAATTAAAGTCCCTGATATTTTTATAATATTCCTCTGCAAGGGAAGTAATTTGAGAACATAATTTCACCCGGAATGCACTCAGTTCTGTGAGGTCAGGTGTAAGGGGGGGGGGGGTGAAGGAATCAGTATAAAGATTCCTAATTTTCATGAATAACTAAAGGAAAGCAAAGAAAGGAAATGAGAAAATGAATGCTTCTAATTGGTAAAACTATCAGAAGAAATTGAAAATATAAAACATTAGTTTATCTTTGATAGGTTACATTCTAATATTATGATTGCTATCATTTACTGAATGACCTCTAAGTGTCTGAACTATTTTAAATATATACATTTAATCCTCATAACATTCTTTCAATGTGGGTTTCATTATTCCACATGTACAGAGTGAAGCAGAGGCTCAGAATATTCAAGGAAATCTCCTAATTTCTTACCCTCAGTGGGATAGTGTGGGATGCCAACTCAACTCTGTCTGATGACAATACCCAGGCTCTTTCAACTGTACCACAGTACCTCAAAAATAATCATATTACTGGATACCTAGGAGTTCTGGAGCAAAAAATACTAAACTCAAGATTGCATACATTGATATTACCAGCAGCTCACATAGTATAAAGAAGGAGAAAACTGAAACAGAGAACTGACAGCTTGTATTTGCCAGCACAAACATACCTAAAACACAATGGCAATATTTGATCATCCATTAGCTCTGTGAGTCAAGCCTCCTGGTGTTTTGTGAAATTATTTGTCAAATCAGGTCCTTAATTTTAAAACAAATGAACTCAAATAACTTAAAAAAATAATGCACAGAAAGTCTATATAATACTCTGGCACAGGGTAGGCACACTATAGATAATTGTTATTATATTATTTTATTAGTAAAGCAACTGAGTCTTTGTGGATTTTCTAAATCATTCCACTAATATTCAGTATCTCAATAACCTTGAGAAAACAGAATTAACAAATGTTCAGTTAAATCTGATTTCATCATTTTAAAAATTGCTTTCTCTATTACACTATCCATTGTAAGTAAAAATAGTACAATTAGAACTCAGATTAAGGAAGACTCCAAGTATAATGAGGGTTCAGAGTTCCCCAAGTTAACAACTGTATCCTAAGAAATAAAATTTCAGATTTAAATTATGAGTATTAATAGAATCATTAGTTTAATCAAAATCGAATTTACTAATAACTAAAGTTGAAAAAACATTTTGGTAAGAAGGAATTACTGATTTGGAATCTATATAAAAAATATAGCACATTAGTCATAGTGGTTTACGCCTGTAATACCAGCACTTTGCGAGGCTGAGGTGGGTGGAATGTTTGAACCTAGGAATTCAAGGCTAAGCCAGGTAGCATAGCAATACCTCATTTCGACAAAAAAATTAAAAATTAGTGGGACGTAGTGGTACACGCCCACTACGTCCAGCTACTTGATATGCTAAGGTGGAAGCCTTTTTTCTCCTCCTGAGTCTAGGAGGTCGAGGCTGCTGTGAGCTGTGATTGTTGTGATCATGCCACTGTACTCCAGCCTGGGTGACTGACAGACTGAGGCCCTGACTCAAAAAAAAAAAAGCACATCAATTATACTATTAACATTTTTACATTGTTGTGGATTCCATAATAAAAAGTTAAAATATTTTTACTTTTAAAATTATCTTTTAATTATTGCTTAAGTGTTTAGAGTCTAAAAACTTCAGTGTGAGTACCAGATCTAGTTCTACTAGTTTTGTGCCAGTAAAACAGTCACATAATAGCTCTCTGTTTGTTTTCTTACCTGTTAAATGAAGATAACTCAGTTCTACAAATCCAAGTAAATATAAAGATAATTATCATTATTGAAAAGTATTAGGTATTTTTGACTAGTAGAGGTTAGCAGTGCAGGAGATCTATAGTCCAGATGTATATGGCCAGCCCAGAGTTTAATATATTTCTGAATTTGGGTGCCTGTAAGGGTGACATTCAGTCTTGAATCTCACCCTCTACCACCAGAACTTGACCTGTCCATGCCTGGAAACATTTGAATATATGACTGGCCAGAACTATGACACTAAACTTGAAGGTCTATGAGAAAGAATAAAAGCCCAGAAATTGCTAGTGTCCTGACTATAGCTCAAGTATTAAAACTCATCTCAACCCCCAATTCATGTTTTTTTAAATCACATTTCTTTTTCAGAATATTCAACATGCAATGTATTCTTTCTTAGTAACCATGACAAAACCTGAGGTGGTAAAATTTTAGCATGTATGGGCAAATACATTTCTAAATATTCCAAGTTTCACATTTATATTTCTATGTGAAGATGTAATTGCTAAAGCAATTTTGTTAAAAGCTTTATCTGAAAGCTCATCAATATTTAGAAAAGGTGGAAGTATTGTTTTAATCCCAACATTAGCGCAAAACAAAAAACATGAAAGCCACCTCAGCTTAATAACTTGTTACTTCTCAGTCAATTCACAACACAACAATAAGCCACTCAGAATGAGCTTCAAAAGCAAGGTTATGCCCTTCATGTTGTGTTATCACTGTGGCATATCACACTGCTGACTTGAACCTTTCTGCCAGTGTCGCAGCAGCTGCCTCTATGAAACTGCTGTCACAGACGAGTCATGGTGCCTGCGCATACCTACACAGAAGCACAAAATTGAACTCGAAGTAGTGTCTTTGTGATATCTTTTCAACAAGTCATGTCCCATTCAGCCTGCTAGTTTATCTCTGTCAGGCTAGGGGCCCAAGTGGCTCACAGAATCTGTCAGGGACAGGTAGACCAACCTGCTTTGTGCTGAGGAGGTAATGCATCTTTCTGGCTTGGTAATCTCTTTTCTTCTCTTCCCTTTCGAGGTTAGCCTTCTTTTCTTCTCTTTCTTTCATTTCTGCAAACTCCTCCAGTGAATCCCTGCATCAAAACCGTCTGAAGTTATTTATCATACCATGTGTTAACATGTTAATTCCTTCACAGATGATAATCAAGTAAGTTTTTTGAGTGCTAATCACCACTCACATCCATCAAAATTAGTAGTATATCTCAGCTGCATTTTCTACATGAATCTTTACAATTTTTAGAACACATGCAAGTGATTTTTCAGTGATTAAGTTTTTAAAATCAAATGCCTATATATTGTAATTAACTTAAAGCTAAGGAAATATATCAAATGTAAAATATATTCATATCAAACACAATGATAAACTACATTATCAGTTTCTTTGCTTGAAGATTAGCTATTTTGGACACACTTAAATATTCCAAGAAAGCAAGTGAGCTATGGGTTTCCTTTAAATTTTGGTTTTGTATTTATAAATCCCTAATCATTTATTTTGTATACTAACTAATGGGCTATTTTAAAAGTATGACTGGTTTCCTACATATGCTTAATTTACTGTAAGTCTACTTCCTTTAGCAGTTCAAATAATATCAGTGAGAATATGTTGATATTCTATGTTATTTTGCCCTTGAAAGGTTGACATTTTGTTCAATTATACAGATAATTGGAATAAAAGTTAAATTGGGTGAATAAGTTAAAGTCTTTTCTAAGTATAATAAATTCCATTAAAAAAATAAAACTTTTTATCATTTGTGCGTGTATCTAAGAAATGTAAACAAAAAATAAGCTTTTAAATATACTATGTGAAAACACCTGCTAAACAGATCTAAAATGTGAAAAAATAATTAAATCCTTTATTTTCAAGGACAAATTTAACTATTCATGTCAAAATAATGCTTTGAAATTGTACTACACTTTTTAAAGAGGTAGATGTATAACTTAGTGTCTAGTTCTGTCAGTAAAATTTTAAGTAAATCATCTGAGCATTTTCCTCAAAGATATCAGCGAGAAGTAGAGGAAAAAATTCAGAAATAAAAAAGATTCTTCTTTCGACTTCAATGTCTAGAAATATTTTTATTGCAGTTCTCTGTTAAAGGCTACTAATACAATACTTCATACAAGGTTACTTATAAAACATACTGACGTTTAAAAATCACCAAGCTATGCTATTGCAGCAGAGCAATTTTTTTCAACATAAGATTAAATTGCAAAATAAATGAATTACTTAGAGTGGCATGGCCCCCATTTTGCCACCCTTCTCTTGAAAATTGCTTATTAATATGAAAAAAGGAGTCAGAAAATAGCCTGTTTTACTTTATGCATAGTATTTTGGGGGCTTCTGCGCCCACAGAGCTGGGCTAGCTGCACATTTAGATTGTGTTGGCAAGCTGGTACAATGACCTTTCTGACCTGCATCTCAGGGCTATTATTAATCGCTAAGTAACCTGGTAAAGCCAAACAAATTTGTTTCCATTGAAAGGATCTCTATCTGTGTCTGAGAATTTGTTCTGTACCAAACAAACCTCATTAACTGTGTCCATTTTTGACAAAGAACCAGGAGTTAGAGGGATTGGTGACCTTTCTTTGTCCTTAAGGTACAAATTTCAAGGCAGTTACATATGAATAAATGAGAATTTTTTACCAGAAAAAATAACAAACATGTTACATAAAAAGTGAATATATTATTCATTTTAATCTTTACTTTTTATATTATAAATTTTTTTCTATAATTCCTCTTATAAACGTTTAAGATAATTCAAAATAACCAGAAAACTGCCACTATAAAGATAATTATTCAGAAATACATGTATCCAATTTTATATTGCTCTAGAGATAAGTACAAAAATTTCTTAAGTAATCATAAAAATAAAAAATACATCTACAAAGAAGTTTGTGCTCTATAAATGATTTAAGGAGTATAAAGAGCTCTTACAAAAGAAGAAGAGCCTAATATAATTGAAAACATATATGAATGGGTAAGGTACAAAAAAGTACGTGGAACTTGGATACAAATTCAATAGCGTAAGTTATCTCAAGTAGTAAAATCAGTCTATCTTCAGGATACAGAAATGTAAAATGAAAATAGTGTGTATTTAGGAGTGCATAGCAAGGAGAGCTAAAACTAGGAGATATGGAAAAGAATGTTAGTTTCTAGTGTATAAAAAAACACACAGGAAACACTAGAAAAACTAATCTGGGGTAATCTCAAAACACAAAAGTAGTTAATTTAATAAATTCACCCAATTATTGAAAAAAAATCAATTCCTAGGTTCCTAATTGATTTATTGTAATACTTAAGAGTGTGTGAATATATTGAACAACACAACTATACTTATGTCAAATATTCTTTGATAAATGATGAAGTGGGAAGAACAGAATAAATTATTTATCCTTGATACATAAGTTTTTGTTACATCAATGGAAATGAGGATTGGCTCTGTGTAAAGGATGCAATAGAAACTGCGATCCCATTAAAAAAGATAGAAACATTCTAACCAGCATTCCCTACAAAATTATTAAAATTATTCCTTTTTTTAACTGGAGATTTTAAAAACAGTACTTTTAAAACACTAAAATAGGTTGTATTCCTTTTTTTAAATTTTAGATGATTTTCTCATTTTTCTTCTCAGATGGTGCCCAAAAAAAGTATACAAATTTTAAGAAGGAAAAAACTGTATTAAAATTGTTATACTTAATATATCAATAACAAAAGAGGAACCCAAGTCAAGTTTGACTTCTGCAATTACAAGAAGTGCTGAAAGTGGTTACCATCAGCGTCTGTCCAGACACTTCTGATTATAGCAAACTAAAAGTAATACATAGATAACATTTCTTAAAATGTATATACATTTTGGGGGCACCCTCACATATGGTATAGGTCTTACTAATTATCCTAGTTTACAAATATGAAAACACATAAAGAGACTAAATCATCTACTCCGAATAACAAATAAGTTAATGGCAAAAATGGAATTGGAATCCCTATATTTGCAGATTTTTCTAAGTCCAGTCCAGATTGTAGTTATACGGAAACAAGAAGTATTACACAGAAGATATTGCTTATTTAATTAGCCATGTATATATTATGTCATTTTATAAACCTATTTTCTACCATATAAAGAAACTTGGAGAAGTCTTAAGATTTTCTGCATCATTTTCATATCTATTAAACATTTTGTAATGTTAGTTTAACAAAAGATAAAATTACTGAAACTTTTGCAAAACTTCATGTATTTGAATATATTTTGCTAATGGTATTTATAGTGATAATAAACTATTTAAATATTCTAACAATCACAGCAATAAAAAAATAATAGCTATTGGAAGGCAATATAGTGGAGCAGTTAACAGCATAGACTCTGGAATAACACCTGTTTACAAAAGCTCTGCTGTGGTCTTTACTAGTTGTTTAGCTTCTGAGCTTCAGTATCTTCATCTGTAAAATGTGAATATATTAGTATCTTCCTCATTAAGCTACTGTGAGGATCAAATAAGTTAATGAATGTAAAGTACTCAAAGTAGTGGCCTGCACATTGTAGGGTAGGGTGCTACATAAGTGTTAGCTATTTATTGATAATTTCTTATGAGGCAGGTAGTAGGCTACTTTATCTACTCAACTGGATATGAATCATTTATGCTTTTTCTAATTCCCTTGATGATCACTTCTTTTCTCTCTCCTGATGAGTGTTCACTTTGTAGATGAAATTCCACAATGTAGAGTGTGGAATCTGGTTTCCTAAGAGGCCTGGGGCATGGTATAAACCTTGACCAGTGGGAAATAAGAGACAGAAGGAAACCATGGAAGTAAGTTTCCTTCCTCTGTGCTCCACATACTGCTGAGGATTGATTTCTCCTTGCAAACCTGGAGAAAAGCTGTGTGACTAAACACAACCAGCATACCTGCTGTTCTATGCTGCATCTCTGTGGGACTCTGTGAAGCAGTGCCAGGGTTGCAGGAGCTATCATATCTCATTCCTCCATACAGAAAAAAAGCACCCAATGCTCCAGCTGCCAGAAGTGCTGGCTGGTAACTGCTCATAACTGAGTATCTCACTGGAGAAAATCAGCTGCCCTGCCCCAAGTTTTGTCATCCTGCCCTACCCAGCCTGGATTGGGACCAAGCTGAAGGGCCATCTCAGTCCCAGAGCCGAGACCTGTGATGCAGCTCAACTCCTCCCTTGGCCTTCCTCCTCCCTTACCTTAGAGATGTTATTCTTAAAATGTTACCTACTAAATCTCGTGTACCAAATCACTGAGTATGAGTTCTGTTTCCATCTATGACATTTCACTCTCATTTCTAGCCCTCACTGAGCTGGTCTTAAACAACCCAAATAAAGTATCAGCACTTTAATCATAATGTATGTTCTGCTTTCAAGAAGTTCCTACCTAAAACACAAACAGTGTCTCATTTAATACTTTCATAGTCTTGTGGCGCAGATATTATTACCCTCAATCTACAGATCAGGAAATGAGATTCACAGAGATTAAATCTCTACCTAAATGCCAACAACCAGAAAGTGGCAGAGTTAGAATCTGAACCCAGGTTTGACTCCAAAATCCTTACCTTTAACCACAATACAATACTCATAGAATACATTTTGCCCAAACCCAGTATTTTTTAGATACCAATAGGACTTTTTTTCTGACTAGGTAACTTTTAATACTGTATTATGTATATTAGTTTTCCAAAGCATGCAAAAGCAAAAGCTGCTCTGTCTGGGAATAAATTAAATGAACAATCACTCTTTCATCATCATTTCCTAAGATTATGACTGGGAAGCTATGTACAGTCATGGGATATACAGATCTTTGCATATCTTCCCTAAAGTATGTTTTTCAGTTGCTGTTTATTAAGTAAAGAATGCTAATATACAATATACCAAAGTATTTTTAAAAAGACTGAAACCAAAAAAGATGCCTAAAAGCTATGCGGCATGATGCAACTAACAAACAATAAAAGCCCACAGGAGTTTTAGGATTGGTCCCTGTTTCTCTCTCCTTCTCACTTCCTATCACTCTCTCCCAGGATCACTATGTTTCTGTCACAATGGCTGTATTTTATTTCCTAACAAATTA